AACCAAAAACTCAACACGTCAGGACCTAGTACAAAACACCAAAGTAAAGCGCCGATTTAACGACTTTACAACTCTCAAATACACGAAGCAATAAAAATCCTAACAGTTAACGCCTTCCACGAGCTAGATACCACCACCTGCTTACCCATACCTATAAATATCCACCAACAGTAATCACAATTCACACATTATATTTTTTATCATATGTAGGACATTAAATTATGCTGCTGGAACACAACTCCAACTTGTACCAAAATAGTATTTTTAAAGAATTATAATAGACCCACAATATTTAGGTTTATTAAGAAAGTTTTAGTATTTACTTATATAAAATATTAGCCACACACCTGTTGTCACACAATCCACAGATGAGGAAGAGGATGAGCCAGAACATAACTTTGGAACACTAAATAAAGATGCATTTTCTCCAGTAGCACATTGAACATTATGATCTTTCAAGTCTTTGGAAGGTTCACTGTCTCCCCTGATTATAAAACACAAATCTGATTATTTTATGTTCTCATTTTAACATAGCTTGTGAAATTAAAACTAGTCCTTTGGTCCCAAACCAGTTAACACAGTGATGAACTACCATTTATTTTTCAAGTAGAGATCCAGTAGACCAAATTAATTTTCAAAGTAAGGTTACCTGTATTAAATCAAATATCATGTAAACTGGACACTTATGTTCATTAGTATTCAAGCAGTGAAGCAAATATTCACATCAAAAGGAAGGACTGCATTAAAAACAGCAATTCCAATCCTGTAATGAATGACATTTTCATTAATAAAACAGGCCCAAATACCAAACTATGTTAACTCTCTTAATATGGGCTCAGTAAATTTGACCAACCATGTGACTTTTTTGTATTTGTTTTAGTCTTTATAGATTTAATACTTATAACTCTCAATATAGTATGCATATCTTCACAAAATTTGGCACTCTTTCAGTTAACATTACAAGTCTTTCAGATTTAAAAAAAACAAACAATTATTACTGAAGTATTTGTAATAAATTGAAATAAACATTTGTCCATGAATATATTGAGTACTTGTTTTGAATAGTCCGTGTAAAGTAATTTTCATGTTAAAAATAAAAATCCTTTACCTCTCATCAAAAATCCCTAATTTTCTTTGTGTTATCTGTTATTTTCTTTACCGTTTCAAAACAGGATCGGTAAAAAATGCAATAAAATCGAAATAAACCTAAACTAGCTTTTTCTTTCTACAAGGACTTCAAATTATAACATGAAACTACATTTGTTTATCTTAAGTAGCTCTAAGTTCATAACATTATACATCTATTTATAGTTAAATTTTCTTTTATTGCCCTTTGAACTGTGTCTAACTACTATCTGCACCATAAAAAGTTGTAAATCACTGAGAACACGCAGGTCATGTTACGCTATCGAATTACATTACCCACGAGCTACTATGAACTGCTTGCACACGTGCCTCATGAAGCCTTTTAATTATATCATTATTATTATTACTTATTTTACCTAATCTAGTCTTAAATAACTTAAAAATATCCGGATTTTTATATTTTAGTTACTTTTATAATAATAAATAAAGAAGAAATATGAAATAGAAGAAATAAATTACTTACCCAATCTTTTTTTTTGCTCTCGATTGTCGATGACAGCTAGGCCTAATTTTATATAGTACTAATAGTAATGCACTTAATAATTTTTTATTTAATTAAATAATGAACCAAAGAACATAGACTAATAACAGGAAAAAAGTAAACAAATTCCTTTACCTCTCAATTTTTCTGGCTTTCTAACTATGCGACAAGAGCAATTGCAATTTCATTCAAGCTAGTTGTTAACTTTCCCATGGGAACGATGTTGAGACTGAGTGAAATTGACTATTCTGTGTTCAGAATACAACATTATACAATAAATCATTTGATAGAAGAAAACATTGATTTTCTATTGGTTTTAGGTAATATATAATGAAACATAAGAGAGAACTATCAACGAATTATGAAAGAGGATGTGACAGGTGGGTGTCATTTTCTATTCAATAGTTCTGTACCCAAATAAAATTGAAGACTATAAAAATAATGGTTTGTCCAAGCAATAACAATTTTATAGAGTAATTTAAGTTTAATTTTGTACTTGTTCGAGGGGTGGTGGATAAAATAGGGATGATGACATGTTAAGAGAAAATGTATCACATGGGTCACACTAGTGGAAATTCAGGATTTTTTTTAAATTTTGCCTTGTAGAATTAAGAACTTAAAACTTGTATACTATTAAAATATGAATTATTAGCTCAGATTTTATGCTATCC